GGAATGTATAATGAACGTGCTACTTGTAAAAGTAGTCCCATTTGTTCCTTTTGAAGTTCAAAAATCTTTTTTCCTTCTTCATAACTACTACCAAATGCAGTTCTAGAAATTGCATCACTTGTCAAAGTTTGAAGATATGGCCACACATCTATCTCTGATCCTTCTTTCGAGATAATTTCCTTCCATTTCTTCAACAACTCCGAAGAAGTCAATTGAAACGCAGGAAGCATATGCTGCACATAAAGCAATTAATAGCAGAGGCGAATTCAAAATCGAAAGTCAATTGGTTCAAAATAAGTATGAAGTTGTTATATGCGTATATTTGAAATTAATATTTTTATGTATGTACACATAGATAGAGGTGGATCCTGATTTTGAAGTTTATGAGTTTTTACAATGATCTCAAATTAACATAAAATGATAGTTAGATTCATAATCATTTATTTGCAAGTATATTTTATAGATTTTTTTTAATACCAATAAAGGGTATAAACAAAGTGATTGTGTTCACGTGAACTCATACCTTAATTAAGGACTAGATCTATCCTCGTGACAGAGATGGATCCAGGATTATTTGAACTTTATGCTTTTCTAGATTCTAGAATAGCAACTTTAAATGCTAGTCAATGGATTCTAAATTTAGTTTATGTACATATTTACTAAATTTCTTATCACATATACATGATTTGTGTCAAAACTATCAAGTTCTGTCTAATGCTACCTCCATCGTTATACCCACACATAGTTGGAACCGAAAGCAATATATTTAATTCAACCTATGGAACTCACCATAGATAATCAAATGAGTTTTAGTTTATGTAACACGATATCCAACTTTAACTACCTATACTTATAATCTGATGATATCGATGAGAATATCTCACACAAATTGAAAGGACATATAGCTTCATAGTAATAAATAATAATACCTTCAATTTGTCAAGGTGAAAAGCAGGATTGACAATTCTTCTATGTTTGGCCCATTTATCAGCTTCATAGCCAGCAAGCCCATTTGCTGCCAACCTAGTTAATGGATTGCCAGGAGGCTTTTGATAAATGTAATTCTTTGTTAACACTTCTCTTATAAGTTCAGGGTCCACTATAACCACAGCTGGTCTTGGCCCATACCAAGCAAAACAATTCTTACCTACATTTAAATGAAAGATAGTGAAAATGACTTGGACTGATCAGTTTATTCAAGTTTAAGTATCTATTTGTTCACACCTAGAGTTGAAGGGCATGAATGTTAGTTGAAGTCAAGTTAAAGGGAACGTTTATGTGTTATGCCTGTTATAAACTGCATCATTCTAAATTCATAAACTTCAAATTCAACTATTGTATACCTAATAGTAATTAAGGTTGAATACATACCATAATTATTGATGGTTTTGTGGAAGAAGGGCATGACTCTAGGCCAAATCATGTCATGTGAGAAATCAATAGGCTTTGACAAAGCTTCTTTTCCCATTTTCATCATTTCTTTCACATCCCCAAACAAAAACTTGTAAGAATTCCCCTTGAAACCTTGTTGCCTTAGGCATTTCTCCAACTTTTTTGGTTTGAACCAAACCCAATTCAAGATTCTCCATGCCCATCTCAATACTAAGATAATTGCACAAGAAAATAATACAAGACTTAAGTTGTAATAATTATATGGAATCTCCATACTATAGGCTTTATTTGATAGCTAGCTCTTTGTTCCTACTAGTAGTAAATATATATACACTTATATAAAACAAGTGGATGATTAAGAAATTGCTTGACACAGACAAAATGATATTTTATTTGAAGTTGATGAAGCAATACATGTCATATGAGTAAAAATTTATTTGTATCAGGTGTTTACGTCAAATCAATTAATAGATGCACATCATATGTATAAATATATAATAACATCAATTAACCATGATTTATTAATGTCTATATATTCACTCTATTAAATTATTTAACTATAGTAAATTACATCAATTTAATATAAACACTTGGTTCAGATAAGTATTCATGTATCTTCATTTTTTTAATTACAATTCAAAGTCAAATGGAAATAGGGTCATCCTTCCAATGCTTGGTTGCTAAGTTTTAGAAAAAAATATGAAAGTCAAAATGGTTAGCATATGAAATGTTTTTTCCTCCCTTATTCTATTGTGGAAGAAAGATTAATTATTAAATTATTTTATCTTTCCTTGTCGAACAAGGATTATATTACTTCCTTTGTTTAAAAAATATTACATATTTTTCTTTTAAGTTTGTTTAGAAAAGAATGATCCTTTTTTTTTTTTTGGATAATAGTATTTTTTAATTTCAATTTTTTACGCATTATAATAAAAATAATTTTTAGCGGTATTAGTTAAGCGCTATTATAGAATCAATGTCGCTAAAGGCTTTAGGGACATATACAAAGAGTGCTAATTAATTGCCGCTAAAGATACATATTTAGCGGCAATTAAGCTATTGTCGTTAATTAATTGCCGCTAATGATTGTTTTTGATGTAGTGACGTAGCATGTTTAAGGTTACTAGATTAAAAAATATTTTTGATACATTTGACATAACTTTAATTTAGAACCACAAGATTGAAAAAATTTCTTTATTTTCTTAAACTTCATGCCGAGTTAAACTATGTTATTCTTTTTTAAAGGGAAATAGTATTAAATATAGAGATAATTATAGTCTAGTGTTTTTGGGTGATTTGATTTACAAAATAGTAGATAACTGTATATATTTTGTATGATATGCATATCATAAACTTGATATTTTAAATATGTAAGAATTGGTTTTCATATTTTTTTTTTATAAGAAGTAATGTGTAGAATCTTTCTATTATCATTTTGTTTTAAAATATTTTAGGTTTTCTAGTTTATACAAAAAATTGTTAACCTAAAACTTATCCAATTGACAAACAACTTTCGATAATATTATTAAATATAATTCAACAAATTCTTAATTTGCTATTATTATTGCATGAGGCTTACGATATGATGATGTATGTGATTTCAGAGTGATTTTTGATCTTGTTCATGTTTTTTATTTTTGCATTACTTTCATTTTGTTGGTTGAGGCTTACTGGCCCTGGTGGAAATATACAAGTGTCATCACCTCCATTTTTAGATCGTGACATAACCAGAGTTGCACCCCAGCTGGTAAACACAAATTTCCTAATTTTGTTTTTGTTTGTACAATTCGATTAAACAAAAACTTGTAAGAATTTCCATTGAAACTATTGGGTAACAAACCTATCCCACATCGGATGGAGAAGAAGAAATGTACCAATATATAAGTGTTCACCCAACTCCATTAGTATGAGGCCTTTTGGGATGTGCCCAAAAACAAATCCGTGAGGGCTTGACCCAAAGCGGACAATATCATACTAAAGTGGAGTTAGGATGGTGGTACGTGCGGTCCCAACAAGTGGTATCAGAGCCCATGTTCGGGTGTGTCGGAGTAGTGGACTGTGTTTTGTGAGAAGTTTTCGATGTGACAACAAGACCAGAGATCTGCAGGGGTGCCTTGTGTCGAAAGTCTTCCTGGCAAAGTGGTGGTCCAGGCGGCGTGTCCCGTTATGTGGTAATAGCGGTGCAAGATGATTTGGCAGATCAGATGGTGTGACCTAGCGATTGGAGATCTGCGGTTGATGCCTTGTGTCGAAAGTCTTCTTGACAAAGTGGTGGTCAAGCGGCGTGTCCCACTGGTCGGTAGTGGCGGTGCAAGATGGTTAGCACAGATCAAATGTATCATCGTTGAAGGGGAGGTTACGAATTGTGTGGTCTTGGTTTGAGGGGAGGATTGTTGGGTAACAAACCTACCCACATCGGATGGAGAAGAAGAAATGTACCAATATATAAGTGTTCACCCAACTCCATTAGTATGAGGCCTTTTGGGATGTGCCCAAAAACAAATCCGTGAGGGCTTGACCCAAAGCGGACAATATCATACTAAAGTGGAGTTAGGGTGGTGGTACGTGCGGTCCCAACAGAAACCTTGTTGTCTTAGTTGTTTCTCCAATTTTTTTTGGTTTGGAGTAATGGTATATCTCAATGTATCTAACTTAAAATATGGTATAAAATTATTAATTAGTGGGAATATATGTAATTATTTGAAAAGTATAGGTAAAATTAGTATATATGATATGGATGTATATCTAATAAGATAGTTTAACCTTTTAATTATTTTTTATTTGACCCACGAACAAGCCCAACCCACATTTCTTAAGCCACACTGGCCAATGGGCTTACTCGAGCCAATCTAAAAAGTCTTGTTCTTAAATAGGCTCCAAAATCATAGCCACACCCAACCTTATCAAATCACGAGTTGGACTTGTCCTGTTCAATGGGCCTAGCCAATATTGTCGGCTCTTGATATATGAATAATATCAAACAAAAAAGTCTTTTGAATGATATGATTTCATTAGTCAATTTAAATTACACAATCCAAAATTCAGGGGGAATAAATTGGGTGAATCAAAATGGACTGAACTAACAAATGGGTGATGAGTATAATTCCAATTCTCTTAATATCCTCATCATGAACAAGAGTAAAAACCATCTTTTTTACAACCAAAAAAATAGACTGAAGGTTCAAAAATACACCTAAAGTATCCTGGTTTTTAAAGGTTTTTACTCAAAATATCAGATGTTTCCTTTTCCTACCTGAGCTATTACTAATTATTTATCAAAGCACACCTCAACTATCAGTTGTTCTCTTTTATTACCTGAAATATTACCATCATTCAAGTAGGACAAGTGAACAACCAATAGTTAAAGCGTATCGTATCTCGATAAATATTTTGTGATAGTTCATGTAGGAAATTTGCACTCTTGATAGTTTAGGTATGAAACTCAAAAAACTAGAATTCTTTAGGTGTGCTTTTGCTCCTTCAATCAATAAAATATAACAACCCAATACCATGTAAACAACAAACAAAATAGTGGTGTATATTAACAAAAAAGTAAACTAATGTGGCTACAAGAAACTCCAACAACAAAAACATACTCAGTGCAATCCCACAAATGGATTCGAAGGATAGAGTATACACAAACCTTATCTGTATTCTATAGCTTGTTTAGAATTAGTTGAGCACCATATTGAGGTAGAAGAGTGAAAACTGAATAAGGAACATGAGCATAAGATGGAGAAACTTCAAAAGCAAATTGCTGTAGAATCATAGCAAGTGCCATTTTAGCCTCCAACATAGCAAAGTTTTGTCCAATGCAATTTCTAGGTCCCCAACTAAATGGAAAATATGCAAATTTCCCTTTTGTTGCTCTATTGACTCCTTCACTAAATCTCTCTGGATTGAATTCTTCAACATCTTCACCCCATATTTCTTGGTCATGATGCAACAATATTGTTGGCAATAGGAGTTGCACTCCACTTGGTATTGACAAATTGCCTAATTTAGTTTCTTTGTGTACCTCTCTACCCATCAAAAATTTTGGTGGATACAATCTCAAAACTTCTTGGATAATCATGGTTACCTGTATTAAAGTAGAAAAACAACCATCTTAGAAAGAGTTGCAGACAATGTAAAGGAGGTCTACACTATCAAGCTAAGTCACCAAAAATATTGATATCTATAAGCAAGTCCATAAAAGTTGAGATTCGTAATCTGAAAAATAAGACATGTTATCTGTTGCAACTAGTGAAAATACACCAAGAGTACATATATGCCAAATCTTTTCGAAAAGGCTTATAAGGTAGGCATCCAACAATGATGTAAATGATATTTACACAATTAGGCTACTTAAAAGGTAAACTTGTACTCGTGTGAGCTATAGGTCATTGATGCTTGCACCAGGGTAGCTTGCCTATATTACACCCCGGCCCCTTTGTGCGGCCCTTCTCAAACACTGTGTGAACACGAGATTCTTCGTGAAAAGGGATTTCCTTTATGCTACTTATCTTATGATAAATTAAACACTAATTGATAACCTGATAAAAATGGTAAACGAGCCAACCTACTATCAAATATTGAACTATTCTTATAGTCTAAAAATACCTTTATATTGTCGGTGTATATATTAAATCGGTATTTAAAAAGAGAAGAAAGGATGATATGCAAAAACCTTGTAGATAGATCATGAACTTACAACTTTGAGTTGATTCAACTTATCATAATCAGGTATGTTGTTGCCAAAGACTTGCAAAACCTCTTCTCTAGCACGAGCTTGCCAATCGAAGTGTTTGCTCAATAAAATCATCGACCATACAAGCAAAGCTGAAGTTGTCTCTTGTCCAGCAAGATAGAACAATTTACATTCTTCAATTACCTCATCAATACTCATTCCGAATTTCTTATTTCCATGCTCTTGGATTTCTTTCAAGTTGGATTCCAATAATATGCCCAATAAGTCATCACTATTAGACGTCTCCCCTGCTTCAATTTCATTCATTCTCTTATTGATTATTCTCAATACTAGTGAACGTACTTCCTGATGTATACGGTTCATCCTTCTCTTTTCTTTGGTCGGCAGAAACCTACGATTCATTAAAAATATTATGAATATAGCATTCAATCACAAAAAGAATTTTTCATGAATATGAAGGTAACTTACCTAATGTAACTTGCCTCTGTCTCTTTTACAATAATTTTGGCTAGTTCTTGTTGAAGTTCATGTATCTTTCTACCTTCTTCATAGCTACTTCCAAAAGCTGTTCTTGAAATGGCATCACTTGTTAATGTTTGAAGATATGGCCACACATCTACCTCTGATCCTTCCGTCGAGACAATTTTCTCCCATTTGCTCAACATCTCACAAGTAGTCAAATGAAATGATGGTACCATATGCTGTATATTTTACATTGCATTAGAGACAAATTAACAATCAGTATATACTAGAGTTGGCATACTGACAGTATAAAGAACTTTTACACTAACGGTGACATGTCTTATTTCATAGATTACTAATCTCACTTATTATGAACATTTATCTTTTAGAAGATCCGATAGTGTAAAGTATCGAAGCTACATCAAACCTTCAACTTGTCAAGGTGAAAAGCAGGATTGATGATTCTTCTATGTTTAGCCCATTTATCTGCTTCATAGCTCAAGATTCCTTCGGCTAGCAGCTTCGTGAGTGCAGGGGGAGGTTTCTGAAAAATATTACTCTTCGACAAGATCTCCCTTATATGTTTAGGGTCCATGATGAGCATTGCTGGATTTGGTCCCAACCATATAAAAGAATTCTTACCTACAAGTAAGTAAAATCTCATTAGTGGGAAAAACATCCAAGAGTTGTTGAATTCTCTTAACATAAGGGAAAGTTTAGCGTAGCAACATAGTTGGATTTCGGTTATCATCTATGTTTACTTGTGCTTCAATTATCACATTATTGTCATTAATGTTCTTTATAACATCGAAGCTTTGTTGAATTCTCTTAACAAAAGGAAAGTTTAGTGTAACAACAAAGTTGAATTTCGTTATCACCTATGTTTACTTGTGCTTCAATTATCACATTATTGTCATTAATGTTCTTTCCTCTCTATGTTTTGTATTGTATTTAGAGAATATATTTTTGTCAATCAATCTAAAGCAACTATCTCTACTCTGTCCCGTTCAATGCACTACCACAAGAAGTTGGAACTATACCATTCTCATAATCAAGATTAATTATATACAATCTTGTGCTACAACCGTACCGATGACATGTCCAATTTCCATCTTAGATTGTGAACAAAAAACTTTATACTTATAATATAAGATCCGATGATTTAATGTTCTGTATATAAACTAAAACTCTATACACTAAATCATCTACTATCAGTAGCGGAGCTAGGATTTTTAATAATGGGGTTCAAAACCTGAAGAAGTATACACACGAACTAATCGAAGGGGATTTAACATCTACTATATATACATAAAAAAAATTTAACCATGAATAAATAGTATATATTTTCCAGGGCATAAACGAATAGATGATCTATTAAAACTGAATAAATAATCATTAGCTAAATGTACGGTTAATAGTATATATCCTAACAACACTCACCATAATCAATGATTGTTTTGTGGATAAAGGGCATGAGTCTTGTCACAATATCGTGTGAGAATTTGATAGGCTTGGACTTAGCTTCTTCATCCATCTTCACAACTTCATTCATGTCTCCAACTAACAACTTGTAAGAATTTCCCCTGAAACCCAACTCTCTCAGGCATTTCTCCAAACCCCTTGGCTGCAACCACAGCCAATTCATAAGTCTCCAACTCCATCTCAAAAAAATAACTAAAATTATAGCAGATGCAATTGTAAGTGAAATGTGTTGCATCTTTGATTCTTTCTATGATGATAATAGATTGGAGAAATGGGCTTGCAAAATCTTGAATTTATATGCAGAATGATAGTAATAATAATTTGACAAATAAAAAAAAAGAAGTGTTTCATCTTTGACTAGTAATCTTGATTGCCAAGAAAATCAGACTTTTCATCTTTATGTTCTGTTTTTATGTATTAAGGTTGAAAAGTAAAGTAGTGTCGACACCTTTCGTTGAAAAATTACGATTACCTATAGTTCTATGTATATTAATGTTGACACAAGGTAAAGAATTAGTGTAGGGGTTGAGGGGGTTAAGGTGTTCTGGCTGAAGTTTTGAAACTTCAGCTTCATTTTTAGACGACTAATTATGTTATCCAATTTTGACATTCCTTAATAAAAATTATGATTTTGCTATCAATATTAAGTGTTAATAAATGAATGAATTATTAATTCGTTCAAATTTAAATTTTGGCTCCTCTTGAATATCTATCGAATGAATTAGAATTCCTGTTTCATGTCACATAAACTCCTAAAACATTTATTTCATCTGTCCTAATTTATATGACTTATTTTCTTTTTAGTCAGTCTCAAAAAGAATGACACATTTCTATTAAGTAATAATTTAACTATAAAATGTCTATTTTATCCTTAATGGAATAATTTACAGTCACACAAATTTTTATCATTAATTTTGAACCATAAGTTTTTAAAATCTTCATTTCTTTCTTAAACTCCGTGCCGAGTCAAACTACCTCACATAAAATCGGACGGAGGGAGTAATAGGTTATTATTAATAGACTCACAAAGGTAAAAAGAAGAAAAGTCTAAGATGATATTGTTTGCTAAGAAAATTACTTTTTGTCACGCCCCGAGCCTACACCCTGGGCGGGACCGGCACCTGGAGACCATTGCTGGCCCCAGGCGAACCCTTGGCCTGGCTTTCTTAACTCAGCGGAAACCTAACTCGACAGAATAACTCAACGTCATACAAAGACATGAACAACTTAACTAATAAAATATGGCCCAAAGGGCAACTCGAGCCTCAAAATAGAATATTTACATATATATATATATATATATATATATATATATACATATACATGGATGAGAGACTAAAAAATAACTGACTGACTGACTGTCTATTGAAGCCTCTAATATACTGAGATGGATGTGGGGACAGACCCCGCAACATCCTAATAGAACAAAGCTAAGTACACAAAATAATTGAGTCCTCCGAAACGCAAGGAGGCTCACCACAGACTCTGGAGTGCTCAGCTGGATCAACGACGTGCAGGATGCTGATCCGGGGTACCTGTATCTGCATCATAAGACGATGCAGGCCAACTGGCATCAGTACATGGAATGTACGAATATGTGAGCTGGAAAAGCGGAACCACAACTTAAGCTTGAAAGGAGAACAAGAGATCACTTACCTTGACTCTGAACGACTCATATACATAACTGGACTCAAAGTAAAGCAATAAGACACGAGCCACACATATAAAGCTTGTAAAAGAATGTAAACGACTTAGATCGTTAAGGATAAAATGACAACAAACTCCACTTTTCTTTTATAAATATAATACAGCTTTTGTGGGAGGTTCTTTAACCGACAACCACCACTACGAGCCTTAGTGATGATACAACGTTTTACCTCACGTTGCCAAATGACCATCCTATACCTTGCCATCGATATAGGACCTTACTTTTGCTTAGTGGATCCACTAGCCTAATCTTACGTGATCATCTAAAAAGAATGATACGACAAGTCCCATGTTGGCGCATGGTTCTTATGGGGAGTTGAGTTAATATGAACTCGTATCCCCAATTCGGTGCTCAATACTACTCCCAAAAATACTTTGGCTCATGCTTTTAAAATAACTTCTTTCTTTGATTGAGATAATTACTCAAAACTTTAGCCCAAAGGCTCCTTTGGGGAAAGAAAACATGATTCCCTTCTTATTCAAATATAATAGCATTTACAACCTCCTTTGGGAATACTTAGTTCCCTAATAGCTTTCTCCTTTTTAAAAAAAAAAAGAGAACTCAACTTTAAACTCATGACTTAGCTTGAAACTAAGACTCTTACTCGACTTGAAACTTCACTTGACTTGGAACTATCTTTCCTTGAATCGGAATTATGAATTCAAGGTGTTCGATCACATGTTATGGAAGGATTCTTGAACGCTTAGACGCACTTTGGAACGTCGAAAACAACTACAAAACATAGGTGAATTACTTTGGAACATGCATGAGAAAGTGAGAAAAGAAGAGGGGAAACTTGGCTGAGACTTCAGATTTCTGGTGACACAGATAGGACTTACGGACGCCATCGACGGACCGTAGATGGACTTACGGTCCGTACTGCAGGTCCGTAGATTGCGTCAGAGATTTTCCCCAGAATTCATTTAAGAAAAAGACCAAGTGTTGACCTACGGTCCTGACTTACGGTCCGTAGGTCAGGCCACGGACCGTAGGTCGTGACCGTAGATCGATGCCCCAAAAACCAACTGCTGTTCCGATTGACGGTTGACCAGTACGGACCGTCGATCGATCTACGGTCCGTAGGTCAGTCCCGTAGATGGGGATCGACAGCCCAGAAATTTCTGCAAATCGATGGTGGATCAACCTTTAAAAGGGTCATAGCTCTTAGAATCATAATCCCCTCAACATACAATAGGTTTCAACTTAATGCACAACCCAATCAAGCCTCACAACGAACAATAACTTCAACAACCTCAACAACAATATCAACAACAACTAACAACTTCGACACTTCAACAACAATTCCCAATCTTTTCTCAAAGCATAGAATAAACTTGGTGTGTGTGAGGGAAAGGATCAACCCACACGAAAAACTCACATACCTTGACAGGGATCACCCCCGACGAAAATCCACAATGGTCTTGACAAATCTCCTCTTTCTTCTCTTCTTCTTCTTCTCCTTCTTCTCTTCTTCAATCTCAAGAACCCTAACTCTTTCTCTTCAAAAAAAAATGGGACAAAAATGATCCAAAGATCATCCTAATACAACAATATGAGCTCAAAAGAATTGGCTAGGGAAAAGACTAAAATGCCCTTAATGATTCCCGGACGGATTTCCTTGTCAACTGCCCAACTTTCAAAGGTCATAACTCCCTCATACGAACTCGGAATCGAGCAAACTCGGTGGCGTTGGAAAGGTCGTTCCACGAACTTTGCAACCATAACTGGAATTCCACCTAACTCATCCTGAGCTAGAATTTATGGCTGTTCAAAGTTGGCCAAAATTTCACATTTTCCATACTTAGCCAAAATTTCCAAAACTTTAAATTCTTTCCAAAAATGAAAATTTCCAATTCTAAGCCTCTTCAATTATTTCATATTGCCGGATGTTACACTTTTCCTCTTTGTGTTCTATTTTTAAAGGTCTAGTTAAAGCAAACCAATCAAAGAATCACATATCACAGTTATTAATATAAAAAATAGTAATCAAACTTCCTAATTTTTTTTTCTTTTTATTATATATTAAAATAGTTACAAAGTTTGTTCTATTATAATAGCGAAGTCATCTTAGGTCACATATCTCAACCCCCAATAGATAAATCAATTCATCAAATATCATTTAATAATTAGTAATTTTAGCTCAAATAAAGTTGAGCTAAAACAAATGAAAGATTGAGATAATCCTCGATTCATTTTTGTGACATACTAAGAAGCGACATTCGCATTTTGAAAATTATAAGTACCATTTAATATGACGTTACTAATGGATCCATAAAAAATTAACCCTAAACAGATTAGTTAGTCACACATATTTTTAAAAAATTATAGATTAATACACATAAAAAAATAAGATAATTGTGAATTTTTATTTCGTGACACATAAATTTCAAAAAATTAGTGACGTCCGCCTTTCGAAAATGTGAGTAGCATTATATAGGTCGTCACCAATAAAATCACAAAATTTGAGGTCAATCTGAGTCGGTCATACATATTTAAAAAATTAATAGATTAATACACACATAAAAAAGGATTTTCTTGAATTCTTATTTCGTAATACATAAGCACAAAAAAAAAGTGGTGTCCGCCTTTAAAAAATAAAGAGTATCATTAAATAGGCCGCCACCAATGTACCTCAAAAAAATTAAGCTCAAACAGAATCGATCAAACATAATAGTAAAATTCATGGACATTACACAAGAAAAAATGAGATAATCTTGAATACATATTTTGTGACACAAAAATTCCTATAAAAGAGACGTTCACCTTTTGAAAATAAGAGATATTATTTAATAGGTTGTCACCGATGGATCCACAAGAGTTGATCTCGAATAGAGTCGATCACACATATTCCTAAAAATTCATGAACTAATTATAGATAAAATTGAGATTTTTTTGAATTTCTTTTTTTGTTTCACATAAGCTCCAAAAATAGCGACATCAGCCTTTCAAAAACAATGAGTATCATTTAACAGGTTGTCATCAATGCACTTACAAAATTTAAGCTCAAATAGACTCTGTCACATATATTTCTGAAAAATTCGTGGAATAATACCACAAAATACTGAGATAATCATGAATTCATGTTTTTGTAACACATAAACTCCTAAAAAGCCATTTAATAGGTCATCACCGATTAACTCACCGTATTTAAGCTTAAACAGATTCGGTCACACACATTTCAAAATATTCATTGATATATATGCACAAAAAGTGAAAAAAATCTTGAATTTTGACATATAAATTTCAAAAAAACGTGACATTTGCCTTTTCGAGATAATAAATACTTCCTCTATCCGTAATTACTTGTCCACTTTTGAATTTGCACATCTATTAAGAAAATAATTAATGACATAGTGAGTTTACCATTTTACCCCTATTAATTATGAAGTGGATGAAAAGTTCTACATTTTTCAAAGTAATTAGTCATTTAATTGAGGGTATAATAGGTAAAAAAAATTATCCTTTCTTGATTTGTCAAAATGGACAAGTAATTAGGGACAACTATAAAAGGAAAAGTGGACAAGTAA